ACAGATGGATGCTTAAAATATCCTGACGATTTGAGCTCAACTCATTTGTTTAATTCCTGAAGGGGGAGAGACAGAATGACTTTGAATAATAAAACTAACTTTATATTATCAAATTACTGCTGAATAAAGTCTAAGAACATCTCAAAAAAATCATGATTTTCATAGTTGCATTATCCATTACGCACTGCCCACGCTTACTAGCACTGTGGAGAAAGCCACGTCTACTACCCCAGAGTCACTGTGTAAAAATCACAATTCTAAAAATTGCCAGGCGCCTGGAAATCCGTGTTGACCATTTTGTGCTGGGTGTTCTTTATGCCCTGTCTCCAGATGAGGTTCAGGGACACAGCCTGGGGCAGAGGAAGGGGCACAACTTTGGAGAAGTCACCTCTGTACATTAGGATCAGGATAGTTTTTCCTATGTCATTTCCATATTCCCTAAATTATCTCACAGATACCACCTTGCTTTGCTTCTGAATTTTATTTTAAAATTTATTTTAAAAGAATTTACTTGTTTCTTATTATTCAAACCTCCACGTATTAATGAGCACTTAGAGACAACATGTGAAATGTGATGGTTAGAACTGTGTGTAACAGGCTCTGTCTTGACCACTGTTTCTCCCTTCTTCTCAAACAACCTTTGCTTCTTCTACAAAACAAATTTTGTTTTCCTTCCTGATTCCCAGAGACTCCATCTGCCAAGTGTGAGACAAGGTTGATGGGTGGAGAACGCAGAGTAGCTTCTTGGGCTCAGTGTATCTTTCCCCCTGTGTAGGACAGACGCCAAGTACTACACAGAGTGGCCCAAATGCTCAGTCTTCTTATTAACACTGTGCTGTAACTTCCTTGGTTTCTTCACGTCCTCTCGCCCAGGTGTAGGAATGAGAGCCTCTCAAGCAGAACTGCCCACACTTACTAGCACTGCGCAAACAGTGTTGCCCACACCCTAGTTTTTCAGCCATGTTATTTGGCAATTTTGCTCTTAATCAGAGGTTCGTAAGCTGTTGAAAGAGAAAGGGACCTGTGGACCATATGGCCCAATGCCCGCACAACAAATGGGACGTGGGAACCCAGAGATGGCAAATACTTTGTCCAAAGCTAGTTGACTGTAGAGACAGGGCTACACCTGCATTTCCACACATCCCAGAATCACTTCTAAGAGGCTTCTTCTTTCAACATATCAGAGAACTGGTTTTGTTTTCAACTTTTAGTTTTAATAAGAAATCCATTTTTCCATAAAAGATAGAATTCTACAAATTGCTTCTTTTATTCCAGCAAAATATTGTCATCACAGAAATTATTTTCTCATTTTGCATTGCCTGCTAAAGGTTCGTGTTGGCAAATGGTAGAAGTGGCTGCTAGAACCTGGAGACCACTGTGCACATGTCCCAAGTATACTTCTGTTGGCAGGTTTGCGTTTTCAGTTCCTGAAGCCGTTCCTCTTTCAGAAATGCAATCCCAAACTCTGACTCAGCAGCCTGGTGTTTGTGGGAACAGAAGGGCGTTTCCTTTGATGCTGTCTCTGAGCCGTTTCACACACTTGAACACCTGGAAATGAAAGCTGCTTAACCCTCTGAACATTTTTCCTGGTTTTTAGAGTAGACCTTAGTTGACCACTTGATCCCTATCTTTTTTTTTTTTCTTTTTCATTTCTTTCTTTCTTTACTCTTATTGTTTCCATTTTCTATCAGCAGTTTTCCATGATTACTGCCTCCATTGAAAATAGACATTTGGGTCAATTAATCTGAGGAAAACTTGCAAAATAGCAGATGCCATGAAGCCTATATTCAAGGACTTCCAAGGGACCCCAGAAGATCGCGTTTCCAGGCCAAGGTTTCTACCTGTGGTCGTGCTCTGAGGCTCAGGAGAAGGCTGACCGTTTTGTAGAAGCTCTAACCCGTGTGGCACCCTGTAACCAGGCCGGATCGAGATGCTTGCAGAAGGAACCAGGCTCATGGTAACTCCTCCTGGTAAGTAACTGTGTTCCTTTGTGAGCCTGTGGATGAAGAACGGGTAGATGCTGTTTAGAAAAGACAATGTAGGATCTCGCCAACATGTGGACAGCAGTTTTGCAGCTACTGGTCACTATATATGGAAACAAAACTACTTTGCAAGCAGTTTATTTCCTTCCCTGCTTATAAAAAAGATTGAAATTATACTTTTAGGAAAACACCTCTCAAAAGGATAGTATATTGGTCTTAAAATTAAAATATGTGTAGGACCATGTGTGCAAAACTTTGCTGTGTGTTGCTGTTTCAAGAAGCTTTTCTTGTAAACCCTCTTTTAAATGATAAACACTATAAGTACCTCTTGTGCCCTGTTCTTAATGAAGAGTGCTCCTGTCACTACTAACCTGCAAAGCCTATACAATGACTTCTTTTTTTTTTTAAATTTTTTGTTGTTTTATTTATTTCTGAGACACACACACACAGCGTGAGCAGGGGAGGGTCAGAGAGAGAAGGAGATAGAAAATCTGAAGCAGCTCCAAGCTCTGAGCTGTCAGCACAGAGCCCAACATGGGGCTTGAACCCACGAACCGTGAGATCATGACCTGAGCCGAAGTCAGACGCTTAACTGACTGAGCCACCCAGGTGCCCCAGTGACTTCTGATCTCATCTCTAAGGGCAGTGCAATGCAATGACATTTAGGTCTTAGGGTAAGTGACCAAAGAACATCAGTAAAACCCACTTACTCCTTTTTTTAAAATCCCACTTATTCTTTACTCTAGCTTCTTAGAGGGTTGGCTGACACTAGTTAAAATTTGTATCTCATGGCTCTTGTGATATTGCCTAGAGATGGACCAGTTGAATGAAATCTGTGAAGTCAGCAAAACATTTCAGCTCCAAAGTCCATGAAAAGAATCTGCGTGGTTTTACATCCTCGTGTGCTCATTTATTGTCTTAACAGACATTTCCTGAAGACAGTTTCTATGTTGGACCCTAGAGATAAAAGGGTGATCAAGGCACAGTCCCAACACGCCAAAACCTTGTCGTCTAGTGGACAAGTATTCTAGATTGTGGCTTGTTGGGCCCACTGTTTTTCAGCATGTCACTGCCAGAGACACAGAATGTCTTGGATTCTTGAGCTCTTTTGCTTTCTTAATTCATATAACACTTAATGCTTATAAAATTCATACATTTTGTTAAGTGGAAAATTTGATAAAAGTACCCCAAACCACCCCATTAAAGAGAATAATATTAGCTAATATTTATTGAGGGCTGGATACCATGTTGAATAGTTTCAGTGCCTTATCTCAGTCCTCAGCACTCTTATACAGGAGATCCTCTTATTTCAGTTGCACGGAAAAGGAACCCGAAGCTTGGATACGTTCAGTTATTTGCTTAAAGTCACATAGCTAATTATTGTGGCAAAGTGTGATACCCAATAGAGACTTGTCCGTTCCAAAGAGTATGGTGTAAACCATTAATTTTAGAAAGATTAAGCAATAATTTAAATTCTGAATATTTATTCCTCTGAGCCTAACCTTGCAAATCAACCCTTTAGTTGAATGCTTAACTAGTACAGACATATTATTTGTATTACTGCTCATGCAGAAAACAATGCTTCTTAAAAAACAATGCACTAAAATTGTCCCTCTCCCCCCAAAATGATCCCATAAGACTTGTTGAATATGCGTTTATTAAATTCCCCCAATGTGATTCTTAGAACATTTCTGTAAAATGCCAAGTGTTGAGGAACTCCTGGGTGGCTCGGGCAGTTACGTGTCCAACGTTGGTTTCAGCTCAGGTCATGATCTCAGGATTCCGGAGATGGAGCCCACGATGGGCTCTGCACAGACGGCAGGGAGCTTGCTTGGGATTCTCTCTCTCTGTCTCCCCTGCCCCTGCTCACATTTTCTCTCTCTCTCTCTCTCTCTCTCTCTCTCTCTCTCTCTCAAAATAAATAAATAAACTTTAAAAATATGACAAGCCCTTTTAACCACATTGTATTCAGTCTTCTTTCCGTATCGGCATCAAATGCGCTGGAAACACTGAATCCAGCTGCAGAGCTGGAGCAGGTGAACTACAGGCGGGACTCAATGCCTGACTCTCGGCTGCCTTTCCGCTCCCGCCGGGGCCGCGGCAGGAAGACCAAACCCAATAGGATCCTCGGATGAGCAGCTCAGGATTTTGAATCAGTGCCCTGGAAACGACAGAGGCATTGTCAGGTCTAAAGAGCAGTATCTGCACACCTGTGTGGCCCAGTCAGTTGAGCCTCCGATTTTAGCTCACTTCATGGTCTAATAGTTTGTAGGTTCGAGCCCCCTATTGGGCTCTGTGCTGACAGCTCAGAGTCTGGAGTCTGCTTTGATTCTGTCTCCCTCTCTTTATACCTCTTCCCTGCTCGCTCTCTCTCTCTCTCTCTCTCTCTCTCTCTCTCTCCGTCTCTCTCTCTCCTCTGTGTCTCTCAAAAATAAATATACATTTAATAAAAGACAAGTCTCAGTGTAAATAGGTTAAGAGGTCATCATTAGGATTTTAGTCTCTCATCTGGTCTACTATCATTGGGAATGTGATTCTGGCCAAAACTTATTTTACACTCAAACCAGTTACCCACCGCCTGTACATAGAAACAACAACAAAAAACCCTGTGAAAGTATCAACTTTCATTTTTCAAATACTCAAATATATTACTTCTATTTTTGTTCCTTTTGAAAATTACGAAGAAGTAACCATAAATCAGATTCTAGGAAAAGAACTGCTCTGATACATGAAAACCTCTTAAGAAAAGAGACTTAGAGGATTCAGCAAAATATTGAGCAAAGGTAAAATCAAACTCTCCAATGAGTGAGTGAGATGGAAAGACAGAACCGAGCTGCCCAGGCAGAGGGTGGTCAGTTCATCCATTCTTGACTGCGTTCATCCCTAATGTGATTTTGCTTGGATTCATCTTTGTTTAATGCTAGCAGGGCCCACTTTTCAATTTATATAAGTATTGAAAAAATATGGGCACAATTTTAAAAGGCTGCACAAAGGGAGATTTCTGTAAAAGCTTTGCAGACAGTGGGAGTGGTATAGCGGGTATTACTGGGACCACAAAGTGTTCGGTCCTGGCACGCTGCTCAGGGTCACAGGTAAATATTCTCTCATTCTTCCGTATAACGTGGGGAGGGGAGGCAGCCGATGCAGGGGCGGCAGGCGAGGTGCTGGCTCAGAATTCCAGGATTCGGTCCCAGTCTGGTCACAAATGGCAGCGGGGTCCTTGGAGAGGCCGGTAAGTGTGTCCCGGTCCGTGGGGGTAGTTGCCTCCTGAGCTCGCATGGACGACATTGAGAAGGAGCTAACTAGCTAGAGCAGCTGAGGGTCCCTGAGGGGTGGGGATGTTAAGGACATTTGGGATTTCTGTGTTGAAAGAATTTTAAAGAAATTTGTATATTTTATTTATTTGATTACAAAAATAACCAACAAAGAGAAAGAACAAAAAATTGCAATACCTGTCATTTTGTCACAAGGTAATTCATCAGGTATGACCACATTTAACTGTACAAACATATTCAAGAAGGTCATAAGCTGAGTTTGTTTTTTCTAAATTCAGGCTAGTAAGTGTGTGCATTCTTCATTACCCTTAGGGATGACATTTTGCTTGGATGAGGGAGAACCTCTCATGGGGAAGTTTCTAGAAAGCTTAGCAGATCTAACCAAATACAATTTTCAAAGACTTTTCACAACACTGGTGAAACAATGGAAAAATGAAAGAAATGATATATTTTGGTTTCCTTAGTGGTTGTGATCATAGGTAGAAATCAATTTATAAAATGAAAAACAACTTTCTTGTTCTCTTTTTCCCCAGTGACTACATACTCCATGTAAATTCTAGCAATCTAATTAGATAATGATGACATAGATATAATTCAGGAGGTTCAGAAAAAATTTTAGAAGAGTGTGGTGAGAGAAAAATGTGGACTTAGAATCTGAATCTATCCTGTTGTGTATACTCATCCTTTAGCAAATAAATTCTGACCTACTTTATTGCTTTATTAAAATTATACAAATATTACATGAAATTATGAAAAATTACATCAATTATGAAAAAAATTGGAAAGGAGAAAGATGAAAGATAAAGATAATTTTTATAGGGACACTTACTATTGTTAATATTTGCTAAATTTCCATCCATTTATTCTGTCAATGTAACAATCATCTCTAGTGGATGTGACTAAGACTAAATGAAAATAAACATGGAAATGGCTACCACAAAGGTTGGGACATTGTCACCCGTCATAAGTGACATTTCTCCAGAACTGCAGTTACCACCCATTGGAGTTCTTTATTCAAAAAAAGAGTACAGAAATATGTATTAATTACCATGTAGTCTACAGATCACTTTAGAACAAATGGTCATATTTGCAGAATATTTTCCATTCTTAGACTAACTGTTACCAGTTTGGAAATGATTAGAATGTCATAAGCATTACCTCAAATATTGTTAGCCTGAATATGAGGTGATCTCTCATTTTTCAATAAAAATAGTTAGATGTAAAAAAAGTTGGAAAGTTTTGCAACTTGAATATATACACTTATATATATATGACATAAAGTCAAATATTCATTCATTATAGTTTATTCTTTATTATATTATACTTACACATAAAAAATGTATCATTACAATATCAGCTGAGAAATACTGCCTTCTTTCCCCTTATAGACTCTTCACATGCATCTAAAATGTATACTTTAGAGCAAACTTCTTAGTCATTGCAGGGTCTGAGAGTCTGTTTTGGGATTCCCAGATGATGATGTCACTGGGTAACTTATTGGAAGAGATAATTCACCCATTTGCATACTTTACTTTACTCCCAAGTAATATTTAACAAACCCATATTAAATATCTTTATTGTCTTTTACCAGTTCTCCCTCTAAAACTAGCTTTAACTGAGTTTATTTTAAGTTGATATCTTGTCCAAATCGTATTGTTAGGACAGCATCTTGTAAACTGAGAGGCTGACCAGCACTGAAACATAAGGCATGAAGCATAATCCCTGTTTCATGAGGGATAATGTTGGAGCCAAAGCTTCACTTTATGCTCCGGCACTAAGGAGTGTTTGAGTTCCGCATGTTTTGCATCTATGGCTCAGAGCAGGCTTTGGAAACATCTTCTTCCATTTGTCATGTCATCTTCGAGGCAGATCTACTAAACCATCAAGCTCTGGAGCAAGAAAAGGAATAACTTCTAATGCACAAATTATTTCTCATATTTATGATGCCTATTTCCAAAATCTACTTGAGAAGGCCTAGAATAAAATACACAAGTACAGTTATGCCATGAAATAAAAAAAGAAGATCAAAAGGACTAAGGAAAGCAGAAAAAACGGTCTGTGATGATCTAGCAAGAAACACAGGGAAAGATTTTTTGTTCAAAGGTAGGAGAAAAATGTGGTGGAGTACATACTTCTTATGAACTGCTGAAATGAAGTACACCAGAGTTCCAAATATATTATGCTTTTCCAATCATAAAATTAGAAAAAACATTCAAAGCATGAGTCCTTTAGGGGAATATGAAGTCAAATAGTGGGAATTACTTTCCACATCTATTTTATAAAATAGAACAAATGGTCTTTAAACAGATGCATTTCATGCTGCCACTGCATCATTACTGTGGGCCCCATGACATTTTATGTCATTCGCAGATGGTGACCTTCAGCAGACATGATCAGGCAGGTGACAGTCTAGGGATCTAACGTGACAAAGGGAGACTTGGAGGAACAGGCGGCTGGTCATTGATCTAGCTGTTCTGCCATGAAGGCCCACTGTGGGAGATTCAGGCCAAACATTTGGCATGAGCTGGAAGGAATTTTGAGGTAGAAATTTCTGGTGAAAGCTTGGAGTGCATGTAATTGTGTTGTTGATGGAAAAAGAGTCATTTGCTTTGGACAACACAGGTGAAGGAGTTTCATAAACCCACCCCATATTACTAGACTTTAGCCAATGTTCCATTTGATTTTCTTAACATTGGAAATGATGTAGATAAGAGAGACACGTGATTGCCTTAATTGGTGTGTGAAAGGCACATTTTCACTAGTGATTGCTTAGAGAATTCTACATATAGTCAAGCAAAGTGAAGTGCAAATGAAGGAAAGGGTCTCCATGCTTGGTTGACATAGATTTAATCATTACACCCAAATACTGCATTCCCATTAGTAAGGGAAGCTTTGGTCCCATGAGATGAAGTATCATTCTGGAGGACACAATCATCACAAACAAATTGCTAATAATACTGTTAATAATTTTAATTATAATCTTCCATTTCCATAAATGAACCTGGATCAGAATCCCAGTCTCTTGAGTTGCAGACCAGCATACTTTACTGAATCTGAAGAACTCATAGAGACTAAATCACACTGAAGATTTCACATGGGAGGAATCATTATGGAATCATTATATAAAATTCTTTGGTAATGAAACAAAATTTAGTGTCACAGGTAAGTATCAGAAGATGCCAATTTTTGAAGATCATAGAGGGAGGGCAAGAAATGATCCTAAGGTATAATAGGAATGTTTAGGACAAAGAGGAACATGATGGGGCTTAGATGTGGAAATCTTAGGAGAGAGTTTAATACAACCCTAACAGCAGAGGTACAGCACTTTGCAGCTACTGTCATAGGATCTGACTTGGTGTCAGACTTGGACTTTAAAGTCTTCGTGTAAAACTTATAACTGTCATAAAAGTGTTTGGCCCAAGAATGAAGTTAATCACGACAGATAAGATTTGTGAGTTGACATATTTCCTTTGAAAGTGAAACGGTGTGGTCTGAGAGCCTGTGCTTTGGACTCAGGCTGACCTGGGGCCCTGTCTCCACCACTCACTGCTTATACCTTGGGCAGTTATTCTCTGGCCCAAGTTTCCTAATCCATATGATGGGGTAACAGAATATATATATATATATCAGAATATAATATCAGAATATATATATATATATCAGAAAGAGTAGACCAGAACTAAATGAGACACTGTGAATAAAGTACTTGGTGTGTTGTCTTACACAGAGTGGATGCTAGATGAATTGCCCCATTTCACACCTAAAGGGAGAATTGTATCCAGTATGGAGAGAGGTTTGTAGCCAATCATACTGACAGAGTGGAAATTCACCAGACAACTGATCTCTATTTCTAACTGCTCCATTGGAAAGTTGCCTTACTGTGCACTGATACACAAATAACTTGAATTTAGAGGTATTTGTTTCTATTTAATGGAAGTTTCCCTCGCTTGACATAAAAAATGAAATTAATTTTTTTAATCGTTGTAGTTCTTCTAAGCACTTTAAATCTGAATCCTTTACCAAAATCGATAGCATGTCTAACAGAAAAAAAGTTTGGGCTTCATGCTTGTAGTTCGTAGAAAAAAAATTAAATGTTTAAAATATAGTTAGGATGTGCTTAGAAATATAGTCAGAGATATAGTTAGTACTTTTAAATATACTTAGAAATGTCATTAATTTGAAATTCATATTTCTATATGAAATACCTATAATTTATGTTTTAATAAAAGACAAATGTGAAGAATAAAATAAACTTTCAATTAACATCAACAGTCAAATTTGAAATATCACACTTATTAGTATCGTGGTAGACATTTGATAAATTTACATAAAATTTATATAGCTTCGTCTTCATAAAATTATACAAATCAGGCACTTACCCTCAAAACTTTTTTATTATATAAGTGTATATAAAACAAGTTTATTTATTTGTAAACTGGTTTCCATTTTATGTATAATGAAAATCGCCATAAAAAAACACTGCTAATAAATTTAAAAAAGAATGATGAAAGAAAAAAACATGTAAAATAATTACCCCAAAGCAGGCACTAACCATATATAATCAAGTAGGCTATTAATGCTCAGTTAACTATCATGTTGAGAAAGTTATGGGAGTTCAAGATTCCTTCTATCCTTAAAAGAATGAAACTTCCAGAAACTAGCTAAGAAAAAGGGACAGGAGGTAAGAATCATGTCTTACCATTCAGAAATTGTCTTTACTGTGATGAACCAGAAGTATATCTACAAGAAAAACAAACTTCCTAAGATGAAAACTAAATCTTTAATGTAGTAAATGGAGGCTAATACAATGTGAGTATCATGTAAAATTTTAAAATTAATCTGGTTTCACGTAACATGCTTTTGAAAATAAAAACAAAATATATGTTTGGAGAAATACACAGTGCTTCACTATTATAATCAATAAAATGTTATTTCTACTACAAGCAAGATGTACAAAATTAAAACAACCACATTATGAACTAATTCTATGTACAACATGAGTAAAATCTCATGATTGCTTGCTTACTGATTTAGCATAAAATTCAGGAGCTTTGTGGATGAGGCAGAAATTCTCAAGAATTTTTTTTGTCTTTTCTTCTCAAAGGAGAAAGTCAGAAATCCAATTATTTTTAAGAAGATTTCCATGAAATTGTTATTACAAATGCAAAATAGTCCAAATAGAAAATTAGTAAATCATTGGTTTTTCAGTTGGAAATCAAATTGCAAAGAGTTCTACTATTTATAATTTCAATCACTACATTAACATTAAATGTATAATTAGGTAACAATCCAGCATTTAAGTGACGCTTAAATCCATGATGTTTTGTAAAATGTTTTGACATTATGTCTACAAATAACTCTGGAACTATAACAAGTAACATCATAGCAGTTATATATAATGTTATGGAGCAGGTGAAATCAAAGAGAATTGTGGGTACGACAACACATTTAGCAGGCTTGAGAGCAGACCCAAATTTGGGGAGAGATGCTAAGTGTCAAAATATGGTGTCTTCTTAGTCATGTGTCAACTTCAAATGAAATTCCAATATAAATTGTACTTTTGGTGAATATTTCCTAAAGCAAAACTAAATTATCACCAGTGTATTACTTGATAAGGTTAATATAAGAGCATTTCTGAAAATAATCAATAAGTTTTAAAATAGAAGTTTTAGAAATATTGCAGCATTCTTTCTAAATTCAAGGCACTGTAAATAATTTGGAGATGCAATCTGAACATTGCCCTGCTCAAAATCCTGGCGTGGTTCAGATGTGAGAGCAAGCAGTTCCATCAAGGAGAACTCCAATATCAGAAGTGGACATGGGATCCTTATTTGAAGCTTGATAGATGGTCAAGTATGCCTGGAAATAATTCCTAATCCAACAAGTGACTGTGTATTGTTTAACAAAATTCCACATTTTAATCCAGACTCTGCCACTGAATAGCTGTGCCTTTGGGCAAGTTAGGTAACTTGAACCTCTTTTCCCAGGGAAACTAGGAAAGGAAGCAACTCAGACCCAAGGTGAAGGAAAGGGCACTGTGAGCTCTAATTCTATGCCAACTTTTTCCTTCCTTTTACTATGTGCCAGGTAGTTCCAACCACACAGTTTGTGGTTTTCTAATAATAGCATTTTTTTAAATGTTTATTTTTGAGAGAGAAACAGTGCACAAGTGGGGAGGGGCAGAGAGAGAGAGAGACAGAGAATCCCAAGCAGGCTCCACATCTGAGCTGTCAGCACAGAGCCCGACATGGGGTATGAACTCACAAACCATGAGATCATGACCTGAGTCGAAGTCAGACACTTAACTGACTGAGGCACCCATGAGCCCCACTACTATTAGCTTTAATTTCTCTCTCATTTGCTCCCATAGATAAAAGACCTGATGAAGACACTTCCCCGAAGCCCACGATTTTTCTTCCTTCAGATAATGAAGTACAACTCCATAAGGCCAGAACATATCTTTGCCTTCTTGAGGATTTTTTCCCTGATGTTATCAAAATAGATTGGAAAGAAAAGAATGGCAAAACAATTCTGAAATCTCAGCAGGGAAACACCATGAGGATGAAGGACACATACATGAAATACACTTGGCTGACCGTGACGGAAAAGTCAATGGATAAAGAACACAAATGTATCGTCACACATGAGACAAATAAAGGAAAAGTTGATCAAGAGATTCTTTTTCCTTCAAGAAGCAAAGGTATGTGCATGGACACATGAATATAACTCCTGGGACTCTTTTTTCTTAATGGAATATCTCATCTTCTCTGTCAGGTATTAATGGAAAACAAGCTAATAGATATCTTTGCTTAAGGTTGTTCTCTTTAAGGGTAGCAAAAATGTCCTGCATTTCCCCATAGGATTAAAATAGTATGGGCTTTGGAACATACAAAGAAACAGAAAAAGGGTAATTCACTTAGCCTTTCTCGCCTCAGTTTCATCATCCAAAAAAGGGAGGTCACATGATGCTTCTGAGGGTCACCGTATGGGTGAAATGATACAGTACACGTAAAAACACCTAGCAACCTCGCACCCAGTAAATGTTCAAAAAGAGAGTCCACTTTTGATGATTTCATTGATCAGGAAATAATAATTGTACATCTTTCAGGAATGTTCTACTCCACAGTCAAAGTCCCTCTCACTTCAATCTTGCTCTGCTCAAAGTATAACCTCAAAACGATGAGTTCTAGGTGACTGAATGTTGTTCATTTGGTGGAGCCAGATTGCAGCTCAACAAAAAATGGTAATTTGGTCACTGAGGTTTTCACACGGTTTTGGTTTGTTCACATTGAACTGTATATACCACTGTAAGGTGACGTTTGGTAAGTTAAGACTGGGTGAAGCTCATGCGGACACAGCTGCTTCCATTCTACACAAGGAACATTTCTTATCATTAGTAAATGCTGCTCGGCAAACACTTATTGCAGTACTAGCGTGTGCCGGGGAGGAAGGGACGCAGGAGGGAACCACTGACCCAAGGAGCATCACCACAGTAGGGCAAATATCCTTTTCCTATTACCGCTGTCACTCGTGATTCAGGTGGAGTGTCCCAAAGGAGCCCATTGGTGTAGGCGCTGGACATCCTTAGACAGTGTGAGCAGAGCTGAAAGTGCTCTGGCCCAGCTGTGATCCAGTAACGCTCTACATGCAGAAGTCAAGTCCTGAGCATGAACATAACAGACCAGGGATCTAGAGGGCCCCTAAGAAAGAACCAGTTCATATTTTTCCCTGTGGTTAACAAGCCACTTGGAAGCAGTGGGGAACAAGCACATAGCAAGACACGTGAAGTGCTTTCAATATATAAGTCTCAATTTCTGAAGTAAATTTTCATCATTTTTGGTCTAGTAGAAAAAAAACCATACACCCACAATGGCTGCGCTTAGCTTTTCATGTCAATAAAGATTTAATACCTAGCCCAAGTGTAATTTCAATCCCCAGAACAGTAACCTATAACCAGTCGACATGGGAATTTCCTGGTCAGCATTATTAAGTTTATGGACTGACTCCTTCCATTCCCCTTTGGAGGGTGACTTGCCAAAAACAATGGATCTTTTGCTAATAATTTCCTTTTCTGCACTCCCCCTCTATTGTTAAAAACTTTCTTTCCCTGAAATCCTTTGGTGCTCCCCTCTACTTGATAGATGGGATGCTACCTGAGTCATAAATCACGTGATTAATACAGCCATTAGATCTTTGATATTTACTCGGTTGAATTTTTGTTATTTAGCAGATTTGGTGACAGGAGCCAAAGCAGGTTTCCAGACGGAATCAGAGAGACGTACAAACACAAGGGCGGTAACCCCGAGCCTTTTGAGTACGCGGTCTTCCTCACCTCTTTCAAGTGCTGCGAGTGAGTCCTGCTGGTTTTGAGATCACCTCTCTTTGTGTTCGGGCTTCTGATTGCACTGGGCTTCCTTTCCAAGGCTGTTTAGCTTGGGCTGGTAGAGGGTCATGCCCAGAGCCCAGCCAAGCTGGCACGTTTGTCTGGAGCTCAACTCAAGTGGCAGAAAGATCTGCCAGAAGTGAAGTCCCTAACCTTTCAGACCACAGGTCCCCTGGTGGAAACCTCAGTGCACGTCCAGGAGAATTGTTGGTGCCGCACACACAGCATTACTGCAACAACGATCTCAGGCGCAGAAAAATCCACAAATTGTAGGGCATGCGTCAAGCATTTAAAGGCTATTAGGATGCCCATCACCTCAAGAACCTCAAAGACCTTATGATGTAACTTGGTCAGAGAAAGGGTTCCATCAGCTCTAAGTAACTCATCAAACTCAGAAAACATCCCCGCAAGGAGCTACCCTCTAAACCATGAAACAACCTAACTGAAGACACATCCACTTTATGTGTTAGTTTGGATCCAAGAAACTCACAGTCTTAGCTCATGGGATCCTTAATTCTAAAGAGTCAATTGTACCACCTCGCACTACACTTGCTTATTTTATGTCTAAGAATGATAGTCTCAGAAGTCAGAGATATCTAGCAAAAATGGCAAAGCTTGCTTTGTGTCCTGAGGAAGTGGCTTGGTAACCATCAGATTGGAGACTCCAAAATGAGGCCAAACAGAAAGGTGGCTACACCTCACTTGCAGCTACATATGGCTGGACAGATGTGTGGGTTAACTTAATTTGATGCTAGGGTCCCAAAACTACTGCCACCCCCCAGGGCAATTATGACCTAGAAATACAATAGACATCATGGGAAACTTTCCAACTTGGTAAGATCATTTAAGAAGTGTACATTTAAAAGCAAAAGTTATCAAATTAAAGAAGACACCTCTACTAATTGACAAGAAGCCTCAAAAAGGTTTAAAATTCCGAGATAGCTTCCTTGAAACATTCATTGCAAAAGGCTAATGAAAATTAAGGATGGAAGAGGTACTCAGACAAAAGATGGTAAGGCTGCCATAACTCCTCTCGCTCCCTTCTTTGCCCTTTGGCCCCTCACTCTAGTGTGAAATGTTCTCCACGATGAACAGACTACACAGCTACAAACACAAGTCGGCCAAGTAAACAGCCTTACAGACACCCCCGTATGTACCTGCAAAGGGGGAACTTCACACGAGCCCCGCCCAGAGTTAACGAAACTGAGGGTTTCTCTGGAAAACTGCTATATTATTCCCTTAAACAGTTAAGTGATTTCTGGTAAATCCGCGGCCAGCAGAAGGGGTCCTGCGAACACTGGCAGCAGACAGCAAAGGGTGGGAACTCTACGCAGAATCCTCTCCTTCCAAGTCTCTGTCCACAGTGCCTGGTGCACAGAAGATAACAGAATTTCCCATCAATCCACCCTTTCCAAACCCACCCCCATTGCTTATGGATCCTTCCTCTCCCAGAGACGCCATTGTTTCCTTGCTAGTGTCATCCTGTGTCACTGCACTTAGCTCTCTGCCTGCCTGGGACGTGTGGCTTGTGGGTTCCTTCAGTGACCCTGGATCTTGGAGGACAATATTCTCTGGACCCCCTCTGGGGGCCCATCTTAAAACCAAGGGGTGTGAATCCATCTGCCAGGAATACTGAAAACCGTGCACCCAGAGTAAACATGTTGAGGTGCATGTGCTTGGATAGGATGGATCAACCTACATAAATCCGAGTCTCTGAGACGCTGAGAGCAGCTGTCCTGACAGATCTTTTTTTCTTTTCTCTTTGACTTTGCCCTGCTGGTTTATTTCAGATCCTACCAGAAGGAAGACAACTGAAAACAGCTATTCCACTGGGACCCAGGATACCACCTCTCCAGTGACAGCCACCACTCCCCCTACAGGTAAACCTACTACGTGCCGGAGTCCAGGACCGCTAACCTGCACCCACAACTTGTAAAATGGATTTGGGGAGAAACCCAGGAGCAGAGAAGTGCACACAGATTACCCAGCCACGAGCCATTTCCGTGTCCGATGCACTCCTGCCCGCATGGTGGCCCCGCTTGTGACCCCGAAAGGCAGGAAACGTAGGAGCTGGTGAGACGGATCTGTGGCTGAGTTAGGGATCTGGATTTCAGTACCGGCAGTATCACTCCCTGGCGAAAGGCCGCTTACATCAGTGACNCGATGCACTCCTGCCCGCATGGTGGCCCCGCTTGTGACCCCGAAAGGCAGGAAACGTAGGAGCTGGTGAGACGGATCTGTGGCTGAGTTAGGGATCTGGATTTCAGTACCGGCAGTATCACTCCCTGGCGAAAGGCCGCTTACATCAGTGACGGGAAAGGGAGCTCCATGGCAACCGGGATGTTGTCTGCCTCTCGGTTGGTGGATGCGGCCTTTGTGGAGCTAGGCGTTCGCCAGCGATAACCCCTCCACCACCACTCGGGTGCAGCCAAGGATCACCATGTTGTGCGACTGGTTAATAGCTTAATGAATAAGTAGAAAAATTTTATCTTCAGTCAGATAGGGCCTAGGACAACACCTTCAAAACAGAAAGTAATATCTCAAGAAATTACAAAATTGATGCAACGTTTTTTTTGAAGATCTTACATTTCATGATTTCTCATATTTTATGATAAAAATACCATGCAGGTCCACAAAATCCAAACCTGAGTCAATGCAAGACTTTTGACTATAAAAATCTATTCAGTGTTTTAAGAGCACTCTCAAAATTCACAAAAATGTTTTTTCATCACTCAGAAAATTCAGTTAATAAAGAAGTGCACCCGTAATATTTGGTGTTTATAAGTTCAGGAGTCTAGGTCTGAAAGGGTCACCTTAAAACTGTCCTGACAAATATGGACAGAACTAGACGCGCAGCTCTGGGGTCCATGCAGAACTCCCCCGTCCCTTCACCCACCCCCCAATTCTCCCCGTTCTGGAAAAGGGCTTACACAGGATCGGCTTTAGGAAAGCAAAGTCCTTCTTGGAGACACCTGCATTCTTTCTCTGTCCTCAGAGTGACCCATCTTCTCATGTCTTTGAAATGTAAACACAGCCCACAATTGCCTGGGACTGAGGGAAAGTAAGGCAAAGAGGCCTTTTTAAAATACCAACTGCTAAAGGTCTCCTGTGTCTTAACCCTGGTCAGTGTCCTTCATAATTCCAGGGACACATGCATATCTGAACATTTTTATCCATAAATTTCTCCATAAACATCAGTGACTCTAGGGTCTTAGCAACAACCTGTGTGTTTACAGATACACGTTCTCAATGAGGTATTTTTCTCTCTGGATGTGTTGTCAAAATTAGTTGGCAAAGAGCCATGTTTCCTTGGTTTGAAGACAAGCACTTGCAAAGACTGGCCATTCTAAATCCCTCAGAGAGATAGATACCAATCCATACATGTTTCAACGTCACTTGATCTGGGCAAATATTCCGTTGTTGGTTTCAGCAAAATAGGAAAGTCTTTAGAGTTATCAGCACTAAAATTAAAACTTTCACGTGCCTGGGTTTACTAAAACTCAACTAAGTAGGTGTGATCTTTGTTACAAAACAATGAAGAAAATAACTTGGGAGAAATATGGACTTTGTTGTCTCATAAACGTTTTATGGGAAATCTCAGCAAACTTCTGAGAACCAGTAAATTGAATACACATAAATAAGACGCCAAATTTTAAATATATTTTTAAATAGTCTCCCAGATCTTTTTGGTAACCTAAAACATTAATGTTTTGCTGAGTTGGGTCAAATGTTAGGTGACATTCATTAAAATTATCTAGATCATTTCCAAGTAAGATGAAATACTAAATTATTATTAGTTCTTTAACTCAGTTAAGGTCATAGCTTTATTTACTTTGGATTTCATATTGCAGAGAAACTGAAGATAAATTTGGGACTGTTTGTAAAGTATTTTGTTTCCATTTTGCTGGTATAACAGTTCAAAATGCTTGTGTTTTGTTTTCATTAAAAATGAAGGTCTCTAAGAGTTAAGAACTTTAACAAATGTAAGTAAACAAGTGGAAATATTAAGGGAAACAACTCAGAATGTTAGGAATTTAAGATGTACGTTTTTAGTAATAAAAAGTATTAAGAACAAAATATATATAAAATGTATATATAATGTACTATATATATTATATACATTATATATTATAGTTTACATAAATATACAGTTTACATATATACTTATAGTACATTATATATATGTGTGTGTGTATATATATATATACACATATATATATATAATTTACTTATTTATTTGGAAAAATGGAGAGAGTGAGCATGGGGAGAAGGGACAAGAGCGACGGAGAGAGAGAGAACCCCAATCAAGCTTCATGTCGTCAGCACAGAGCCCGATGTCGGGCAATTCCACGAACCTCGAGATCATGACCTAAGTCAATGAAGAGTTAGATGCTTAACCAACTAAGCCAGCCAGGCACCCTTGAAATATGTTTTCTGAGGGGGAAAAAAGGATTTTGTTTTAAAGCAAGGCTGGTTATCCAAAGAGGACAAATTCAGGACAGTATCTAATGTAAAAGAAAAAGTTGGCAAAGGTTTGCAAAAAGTGGATGTTTGGAAAGGAATGTTATGTATGATCAGGACTAAGATTGGAATGAAGAGTTTTCAAATCAAAAGTGAGCTGGTTCAGGATTAGATTTTGGTTTTCTCACTGTCAAAAGGACAAAGGGTGTTTTGGGTTTTCATGTTTGTCTTTAAAGTTTTGGTCTCCTTAAAGTCTCTTTTAACTGGAACATTCCAAAAAATTTCTTAAACTATTGTGGCTTCTTTGATATGTTAAATTACATGGGAAGCATTGTCAAATAAAAATTCACACCAAGTTTTCATTATGTTGTATTGATAAGATTGTGGCATAAGGAACTAAAGTCCATTGTGGTTCTCCAAAAGATGTGCTTCATTGTCAGACTTTTGCTGTCCTGATGTCCTTGTAACACAACACCGGTTTGTTCTGAATCAGGGAAATTAAGATGTGTGAACGATGGCAGAGTCTTCAAGAAAGAGCCTGGGCTGAGGGAAACCCAAGACAATCTCCTCCTTCCTTCCGGGTCCTTGGAAAACCCCATTTTCTTGGGTTTTGTTTTTTCACTCCTTCATCCACTATTGGACATTGAAAACGACTCAAATTATTAATTGACATCAGAAGAAAAACTTTTATAAAAAACAAGTATGGTTTACCAGCAATATCTAACCTGTCAGGTCTATAATCCCACAAAAATTGGTTTTTCTCCAGAGGCTTCAGGCTTCTTCCTTTGGGACCCTTTGAACACCTGCAGCCAACTTCACACCACAGTCACCTAGTGAGGGCTATCAACATGCTCTTGTCCTTGTTGGTACATTTCTGGATGGATTAAAGCCTTTTCCTTCCAAGAAACTGATACCTTCACTGTGGCAAAGACATTGTTAAAAATAGGTTTCCCCCTTGGGGCACATCTTCTGTGATCTCCAGGGACCAAGGCACCTACTTCACTAGGCAAACAATAAGAGCTTTAAGGAAAATCTTGCAAACTTCTTGACATTCAGTATACAAACTTCTGCTAACCCTTTGAGTCAAATGCTAGTCTGACCGACCATCATCTGGAAGTCTCCAATGTCTTATGCTCAACCTGTCATCAACGGGTTAAGAAAGTCTTCCTGGATCCTAATTAAAAGGATTAGGTTGGTCACAGGTAGAGACTGGTGATTAGGTATTTTAGACACATCATCAGAGGTAGACAGCCCTTGAACCCCCTGTAGAAGAGGGTGCTTACCGAGCGCTCCTGCTATAACACTAAAAGTATTGAGCCTCAGGAGCACATCACACACATACAGAGGTCTCTACCTGCCACTGGGTCCTGCCCAAACACTGGACATTTCTGAATCAAACTGAAAGAACGTGAAGTAGCTGACGTCCAAGAAGACTGCATTCACCTAAACAAGGCTCTAAGAATTCATACTCTAAATAAACATGAAATTCTCTCTCCCTCTTTTCTTTTATTATTCTGGCAATGGCCTGGAAAGATAACACCCTCATCTGCATCTCCCAGGTCATGGCCAAGGTAGAGTAGCCTCTGGAATTTAGAACACTTTTAATTTTAGGCTAGGAGAAAATCTAACCCTGCTCTCAGCATTCCTGAAGCTAAATAAACCGTCTAATTGGTTGATGACCCAAAATATACATTCTGAGTTAGAAGGGGCCTAGCAGGGAGCTTTCATGACCAGGATTCACTCCTTTCTCGGGGCCCTATTTCCCTGGTTGAGGATACATGGAACTGAGGGGTGATCAAGACCTTCTCCTTCATTCTGAAACTTGTTGCAGAATCTATTGCTAAAGCAATGGCTGTCCAACAAAAATCCTTAGACTCTGGTGAAAGTCATGCTTGAAAATAAGATAGCCCTTGATGATCTCTTAGCTGAGCAAGGCTGGGTCCTGGCTGTAGCCAACACTGCCTGCCATTTCCGGAATAACCCAGTTATGGGGAAGTTAAACCTCAACAACATCAAGTCACTGAGCTCAAAAGAGTGACTCCTCTTCAGCAGGGTCTTTATTACTTATGATGTTAATTGCTTTTAGTCTAGGGAACCATGGGTTCCAATTGTACTCCAAACATGCGGAATTATCTTATTCATAGTAATCGTAATAATCTGCCTGGTGTGTGGTGTTCTCTCAAAGCCTTTAAATGTAACAGAGCTGGTAACCTACAAACAAATGATCTCTCTAAGCCTAGGACATTAAAAACTAACAAACAAACAAACAAAACAGGAGAGAACAGAATGACCAACTGAAAAATTGTGAACTGGAAATGGTTACCTGTGAACATCACAAGGGTGACTATTTCCCAGAGAAACACAAAAGCTGTGAGATCCTCATAGCAAGTTGCGGAGAGTGGTGTTAATGCCTTCTCTTTTGATGCCATCTAGAAGGTAAGCCAAGAGTCTGATCAAAAAGAGGCGTTATTAAAAAGAAAACCAGAGGCTCAACATGGCCTCACTTAGCTTAAGGCCCCAAGCCAATAAACCAAGACTTCATACCTGCCCAACTGTAGTTTCAACACCCAGAACTGTAGCCTTTAACCAGTGGACATGGATTTTCTGGTCCCCACTAGAGAGTTTACTGGTTGACCCCTTCCGTTCTCCCTAAGAGTGTGACTTTGCCTAAAACAATGGATTCTTTGCTAATAATTTCCTTTTCTCCTTTTGTCTCTGTTGTGAATGGCATTTCCTTTTCTGTCATCCTTTAGAGGTCCCCTCTACTTGCCAGATAGGATACTGCCCAAGTCGTAAGTCACTTGATTAATACAACCATTAGATCTTTAACATTTACTTGGTTGAAATTTTGTCATTTAACAGATTTGGTGACAGCAACGGGATCTGAAGTGGACTTCCAGAGGCATACAGACACTTGGCGAAACACAGGAGAGGTAACTGTGAGCCCTTTGAGCTCACTGTCTTCCTCACCAGTTTCAAGGGCTATAGGTGAGTTCTCCTTGCTCCCCTCTCTTCGCCTTCAGTCTCCTGACCTAATGGGCCTCCCTTTCCAGGGCGGATCAGCTTGGGCTGTACAGGGTTATGCCCAGAGCCCAGCTCAGCTGGCATGTTTATTTGGAGCCCAACTGAACTGGCAAAAGCGTCTGCTCAGAGCCAAGCTACTCGCTGTTCAGACCACAGTGTCTAAAGTGGAGACCTTAGCAGGGTCCAGGAGAATTGGTGGTGGTGCACAGAGAGCCTTCCTGCGGCCGGAACAAAGGAACATCTCTTAGACACCACCTGTACACTGAGGCGCACATAACTGGTTTTCTTGTTTTGTGGAGATAAAGGCTACTGCTAACAGAGATCCCCGAGATGGGAAAAGCCACAAAATTGGTGGGCACAGGTCAAACACTTAAAGGCTCTTTGAAACAGAATCACATCTTGCCATTTGCAACAACATGGATGGCACTAGAGAGTATTATGCTAAGCGAAATAAGTTAGTCCGAAAAAGACAAATATTGTATGATCTCACTCATAGGTGGAATTCAATACAACAGATGAAATTATGTTCTCTTCTGTATGAAGGGAAGGAAAAATAAAATAAGATAAAAACAGAGAGGGAGGCAGGCCATAAGAGTCTCTTAAATACAGAGAATAAACTGAGGGTTGCTGGAGGGGAAGTTGGGGGGGGATAAATGGGTGTAGGGCATTAAGGAGGGCACTTGAGTATTGTATGTAAGGGATGAATCACAGGGTCCACTCATGGAAATAATACAGCACTATTTGTTACCTAAATTGAATTTAAGCTAAGAAAATAATAATAAAGCCTGATAAACAACAAATGGATTAATTAATTAATTAAAGCTCTTAGAATACTCACCATCTCAAGAACACTCCCCCGATATTAATTTGGCCAGGGAGAGGGATGGATCAATGCGAAGCCACTTATCAACTTAAGGAAAATTTCCATGCAAAGAGCTACTATGTAAAACACTCACACTCCCAACTCAGGGCACATCCCTTTTAGGCGTTAGTTTGACTCCACAAAGCCCAGCATTTCAGCTAAAAGGACCTTCAAATTCTGAGGAGTCAAGTGCACCGTCTTCCGGTACACCTGCTTATTTCACTAAGGACTATAGTCCCGGAAGTTGCAGATACCTAGCAAAAATGGCAAAATCTTACGAAGCTCCTTTTGTGTCCTGAGGAGCTGGTTTGGTAATGATTATGTTGGAGACCCCAAAATAAGGCAGGACAGAAATATGCCTCCACTTCATTTGCGGCTATTTACCTAGGGACAGAAGGTGTGTTAACTCCATTCAAGGCTAGAGTCCTATGGACGTGCTGCCAGTCCTCAGGGCAATTGTGACTTAGAAATACAAAGACCATAATTAGGAATATTCCAATTAGCTAAGACATTTAAGAATTTCCAATGAGATAAGAACATTTAAGAAGAGTCCTTAAAAAAGAGTACTCAAATTAAACAGAATAGGAACACCTCCACTCATTGGCAAACAGAAGGTTTGAAAGGATTAAAATGCCCAGGTAGATTTGGGTGCCTAGGTGGCTCAGTCCATTCAGTGCCTGTCTCTTGTTTTCAGCTCCAGTCATGATTTCAGCGTCATGAGGTAGAGCCCCAGTTGGGCTCAGCACTGGGCATGCAGCCTCGCTTTAAATTTCCTGTCTCTCTCTCTGCCCCAACTACCTTCTCCTGTGCTCTCCGTCTCTCTCTCTCTGTCTCTCTCTCTTTCTAATTATAAATAGTTAGATAGATAGATAGATAGATAGATAGATAGATAGATAGGTAGATAGATAGATGATAGATAGATAGATAAAGTGCCAAAGTAGTTTCATTGAAACATTCATTGCAAAAGACTAATGAAAATTGAAGACGGAAGAGGTACCTAAAACAGAAGACTGACAGAACTCCTCCCGCTCCTCTCTCTCTTCGTTCCTTTGAAAACTCGTTTCTAATCTGAAACGCTTATCACTCAAAAAGACTACGCAGCCATAAAGAGAAATCTGCCAAGCAAAGGCCTTATACACATTCCCATATCTGTCCTCAGAGGAGGGCCCCAAATGAGACCTTCCCAGAGTTGACGACACTGGGTGAAATTCTGGGAGATCAGTCTCGTAAACAGCAAAGGGCAATTCTGGTAAGTACCAGGGTGTTCCGAGGAGGTCCTGAAGAAACTGGCAGAAGCCAATGAAGGGCGGAAACTCAGCAGAATCTGCTCTTTCGAATCTCTGTCCGCGGTGCGGAGGGGATCACAGAATTTCCAGTCGTCCCAGCCTATCCACACCCACCCCCATTGTTTATGGATCCTTCCTCTCCCAGAAATGCCATTGGCTCTTCTCTGGTGTCATCCTGGGTCACAGCTCTTAGCTCTCTGCCTCCTGGGACCTGTGGCTCCCCGAGTTCCTTCCTTGGGGTGTTTCTGTGGGTGACCCTGGATCTGGGAAGGGTAACATCCTTAGTACCCTCTCTGGTGGCCCATCTTATACCCAAGGGGTGTGATTCCATCTGCCAAAAATACTTAAAATGTAAAATATGCACCCAGAAGGAAGGAAGCAAAGTGAGGCTCATGTGCTTGGATAGGTGGGATCAACCACGTAACTGAGTCTTTGACACACGGAGAGCAGCTCAGTGCTGTGCTGCTGCTGCTGCTGCTGTTTGACTTTGCCCTGCTGGTTTATTTCAGATCCTACCAGAAGGAAGACAACTGAAAACAGCTATTCCACTGGGACCCAGGATACCACCTCTCCAGTGACAGCCACCACTCCCCCTACAGGTAAACCTACTACGTGCCGGAGTCCAGGACCGCTAACCTGAACCCACAACTTGTAAAATGGATTTGGGGAGAAACCCAGGAGCAGAGAAGTGCACACAGATTACCCAGCCACGAGCCATTTCCGTGTCCGATGCACTCCTGCCCGCATGGTGGCCCCGCTTGTGACCCCGAAAGGCAGGAAACGTAGGAGCTGGTGAGACGGATCTGTGGCTGAGTTAGGGATCTGGATTTCAGTACCGGCAGTATCACTCCCTGGCGAAAGGCCGCTTACATCAGTGACGGGAAAGGGAGCTCCATGGCAACCGGGATGTTGTCTGCCTCTCGGTTGGTGGATGCGGCCTTTGTGGAGCTAGGCGTTCGCCAGCGATAACCCCTCCACCACCACTCGGGTGCAGCCAAGGATCACCATGTTGTGCGACTGGTTAATAGCTTAATGAATAAGTAGAAAAATTTTATCTTCAGTCAGATAGGGCCTAGGACAACACCTTCAAAACAGAAAGTAATATCTCAAGAAATTACAAAATTGATGCAACTTTTTTTTGAAGATCTTACATTTCATGATTTCTCATATTTTATGATAAAAATACCATGCAGGTCCACAAAATCCAAACCTGAGTCAATGCAAGAATTTTGACTATAAAAATCTATTTAATGTTTTTTTTTTTTTTAAGAGCACTCTCAAAATTCACAAAAATGTTTTTTCATCACTCAGAAAATTCAGTTAATAAAGAAGTGCACCTGTAATATTTGGTGTTTATAAGTTCAGGAGTCTTGGCTCTAGCCATGCCGACCTGCCCTCCATATCTTATCAAGGGGTCTCTGAACCTTGGCTACCATATTACCTGACAAAGGATAAGGAGTTATGAACATATCTCTGCTTGAGGTCCCTTCCATGCCAAGGGGTAATAGTTCTGGAGCTCTGACCATCTGCAGATACAGCATGTAAGGGAAATTTCCACAGGAACAAACTCAGCCTTGTGGTTCATGGAGTAACCAGTCTGTCCACCATCACAGATATCAATTATTTCTTGATATCATATATTTCCTTCTAAACTTCAAAAGATAATAAGTGCTATTGTCTTTTAACACCATAGCTACAATGAGAGATATTCAAGAAAGACAGGTGAATAAGCCATGAACTCCTAAAGTTTGAGAGAATTTGGTTTAACCCCTTTCTTCCATTTTATATAATGACCTCTTAAGAAAAACCTCTCTTGTACCTCACCATGAACACCACCAAATTTCCATGGATTTCTAGGAATCTCAGTGAAAGCACAACATGAGTGGCTAAGATGCTTCTAAACAAACAAGTCAACTTTATGTTGATCTTTAATTATTTGATGCCTTTGGTACTTGTTGCATGTGGAGATGGAGAATTACAGAGTAGCAGAGAATATGTGCTTGAACTTCATTTTGCTGGGTCTTGTTAACGGTACCACCTCAGACAAATTACTTCTCTGTCCTCAATGTATTTGAAAAGTGGGAGTGAAAATGTAATCTCATAGATTAGTTAAAATTAATGGATATCGACTCTTATTTTTACTTAGAGATGTAGTCTCGGTAAAGAAGTGCTAAGAGCTATTTATCACCAGTGGTTTTTCCCATTGGATGCATTCATTTAAAATGCTACTTCGCCTTTAATACTTGGAATGTTCTGAGTGAATTTTGCAGAGGTCGTTGAATGACATGACCTGCAAGCTGGATTCTGGGTTGTCTTGGTGGTGGTACGAGTGGTACTGGGGGGTGTAGATGTTTACTGTTGGGTTGGGATAATGTGGGGGTGTCACTTCAACCCAGGTTTTCCGATATGTTTAATGTGACCCCTTCCCATTCAAAAGTCTTAGCTTCTCAAAAGAACAGGTGAAACTAATCAATGGCTTCTTTTAGACCCCCTGCAGCTGCAGCGCATGAGCACCTCTGCCTACTACACCTACGTCCTCCTCCTGGCCAAGAGCGTGGTCTACTCCATCCTCATCGCCTACTGTCTGCATGGGAAACCAGCACTCTGTGACAACGGGAAGAGTTCCCAGTAGATGGTGGCACAACTGTCCGCTTTTCTCCATTGGTTATTGTTGCTTAACGTGTTAAATGAGGGTCTAGCAGGACTTTCTAGAATTGGGATGACTCTGTTCACATGTATCTTTTCGTATTGTGTCACTATTGCCGAGCGGGTTCACAAACCCCTGGGCAAACGGGAGAGGTCACTCTGCACCAAGAACAGAGTCTGCCGTGACTCACGGCGGGGGTGCCGGGGGGCAGCCACGGGAGCTTCGGCGCCGCTGTCTCCTCACTGTCCACTGGCTCCTCAGCCACCCGGCACCCTGGCCTCTGAGCACAGCCAGTGGGCAGCTTCCCTAGTGTCCCTGGGGCCCTTTATCCAAACAGCTGCCTGAGGGCCTTTTGTTTTACACACCTGTAAGCCACCAACTTGCTACCTGAACGTTGTACTGATTTTCATAACAGGTACAATAAAAATAACTAAACATCTACTTTTGCTTCTGTGGGCATTTATTTGGTCAAATCTAATCAAGAGTCCAAAGTAAAGGACAACATAGCAACTGAGTCTTCAAATTCAAAATTGCTTGTAATCATGGTCAATTCCACATTTCTAGATTTTTCCCTGAGAGTCCTGACGATGCCTTCTTTGGGGCACTGGCTGCGGGAGAACCACAGCCAGTGATGGTGCCCAGGTTATCTCTCCTTCCAAGGTCAGCAGATTCAGACTCATTTGCTTTAAGACACTCAGGTGATGACAGCATGACATGTCATGTCATGTGGCTGGTGGGTGTGTCAGACCTGGAGCAGTGCCTCACATGTACCATATTTCCTGAAGTCGCAAGAACCTCATGAGAGCCACACGGATACGGCAAGGGAGGGGGGTTTTATGTGCATGGACTCTGAACCCCACATGCCTGAGTTTAAATCTTGGGTCTATAAGTATTTGAACTCCCTGTGCCTTAATTTTCTCATTTGTAAAATGGAATAATAAATAATAAATAATAAATAAATAAATAAATAAATAATAAAATAGTGACCCATCTCCTAGAGTTGTGTGGATGACATGAGTTTATTACCGTGGGTACCTGCAAGTCCTCAACAGCGTCAGCATCTACCATTGGCAGTTCTATTTTAGAAATAATAGATGACACACGCTTACATACACTCACACCAATTAGTGTGTCACATCTTTATATGTGTGTGTGTATTTCTACAAACATGGGTATAAAACAAAATGTTCAGTGTACAGTAGGTGGGTAAAATAAGTAATGATATATTTTTCAATTTTTGCTAATTAATGCAAGTCAAGTAAAAACTTTTATATACTAGAATTAAAATAATGTCTCATTGGAAAGGATATTTTGTTGATTTACAATGAGATTCAGTTTCTGTGACACCGGGGCTTTTCGAAACCCAGTAGAGATTCCCACATGGAAACAACCCAAGACCCACCAGGTACAAGGAAGAAGAAATTTAATTTCCATCTACTTGAGTCTCAGGAATTTGATCAGGTCTCTTTAGGACAAATACCTGGGCCCCTACTGAGAGACCTGGAACTGTTTCTGCGTGTGGAAAGCGCTGAGCAAAGAGGGGGAACTAGGAAATGACCGGAAGCCGTGTGGGCTGAGGTCAGTGCTGGGCCCCCCTGGCCAGCGTCTCCTGGGACTTCCAGCTCCTCAGCCCCTTCCTTCCCCAACCCGACCTGGGCTGCCCTGGACAGGCAGGTGCAGAGAGGGGGAGGGCGGTGGTGCAGGGGACAGTGTGGGGGGCAGGAGGGTGCTGGTGCGGTGGTGGTGCTTTATTTTCTCAGGGTTTTGTTTTTTTTGGTTTTTTTTTTTTGGTCTCTGTGCTCTGTCAAATGTGATGATTTGTGGAAAATGCTGGAAGTCAAGCCGGCCCCTATGGGTGGGGCTGTGCAAGCCATGGCTGGGTTTTGTAAAATAAAATAAGGGCCGTTAAACCACAGCCACCTTTGCTCGTTTCCAAAAGGCCACAGCTAAGGGACAGGAAACATCCATCTGCACATGCATAGGATTGCTGTCAAACATACTCCTCGGCTATGGGAGAGGGGTTCCCCTATTTTTAAATAGTTCATTCCAAGTAGCTTTTTCATGAGTTGGGAATCGTATGACCAGGACTGTTGAGATGATTCTCCTTCAGTGCATTCTGATGACCCTGTTCTGAAAGAAACAGCCCACAGACTTCTTATAGTTCCAGGTAATCCTGACATCCACCAAGGACCTGCGCTTTTCTCTGGTGTGTGATTTACCCAGGTGGTATTTTCAGTCTCATGTTGTCAGTGCAGGCAGGGTGACGTAAGCTATGAGCACAGGTAGAGTGTAGACAGGGCAACACAAGGGGTTGGTTATATCAAAGTTAGGTAATATCCTCAACTATGATGTTTTATTGCTTTTTAAAATTTTTATTAAAAATAAGAAAAATTGTGTTTCAAATCTACTGACTATATAGAGGGTGGCTTTATAACTGATCATTAAAGCAAGAACATTTCAGAGGGAGGAAAGGCATTTTTTTAATGTTTATTTATTTTTGAGAGAGAGAGAGACAGAGTCTTAGTGAGGGAGGGACAGAGAGAGCGGGAGGCACAGAATCCAAAGCAGGCTCCAGGCTCTGAGCTCTCAGCACAGAGCCAGATGCCGGCTGAACTAATGAACCACGAGATCATGACCAGAGCCGAAGTCGGATGCTTAACCTACTGAGCCACCCAGGTGCCCCCAGAGGAAAGGCATTTTAACAACTACTTGGGGACACAGGACTTAGGCAGACTGTCCCAGATAATCCAGCATGTGTGCTGGTTACTTTCAGAAGATGTCTGAGTCCTATCTCAGTTCATCCAGATTTATTAGCACAGATCATATTATGCAATGTCTTCATTTTCAGTGTCTCCAGGACTTAGAAGGTGACAGAGTACCTTTCCTCAGCATCAGGCTGGCTCACTTCCGCTGTGTGACCACACGTGACGCCTTCACCCCAATCGGCTGACGGAGGCGTGTGCTTCCTCATCCTCCCACTGAACACACAGGTGAGCAGGACACGGTTAGACCCGCACGCAAACCTGCAAGCAAACCACCTTCACGTCCTCTCAGAGCTCATCTAACTAACGGCGCTAATTTTCCAAATCTCTAGGTTATTAAAATTCAAACCACTCCTTCATAAGGAAAAATGCTAACATTTAACATTTTGGTGACTCAGACGTCTTCCTTTCTCCCTCCTCATCCCTTCCTTCCACAGTTAGAAATCTACTACGTGCCGGCACCGCCCCGCCCTGGGGGCTGGAGAAGCAAAGTCAAGAGCAGGCGACCACAGCCCACATGCCCTCTTGTGCCCCAGGCGCCAGTCAGCGCTGTGTCAGCCCCAGGGCAGCCGAAGCACAGACCCCTGGTCTGTGTCAGTTTTACCCCTGGCCTAGTGAGCAAGCCCTGCTTTAGAGGGGAATTTTATAGGGGCGCCGGGTGGCTCAGTCGATTAAGTGTCCAACCTCTGATTTCAGGCTCAGGTCATGATGTCAGGCTTTGCGAGACTGAGCCCCCCATCGAGCTCTGTGCTGACAGTGAGGAGCCTGCTTGAGAGCCTGAATACAGGCACTGGACACATTGGCTCCCAGGACTGGGCACCCTCTCTGTACTGTGCTTGGGTTGGGTCTGAGTGGGAACACTTGCTCTTTGGGCTCACATGGCTGCACAGCCCTCCTTTGCTGGATCTCCAGCACACTTTTACCTCCTGTGCGTGTCTTCCATTGAGCCTTGCTCAGCTTGACTCTAGTCATTTGTCCCTGCAGAGGGGCTTAGCTGATTCAGTACATGACATTCTATTACACAGTGGAACTCAGGGCCTCCCTATGTCTGTGCTCTTGTGAGGAAAGAGGCCCCTTGTGTTGCCCTGTCTACACTCTACCCGTGCTCATAGCTTCACGTGCCCCCGTCTTACGTCACCCTGCCTGCACTGACAACATTAGTTGGAAGTATGAGCCGTAGTAAATCACATGCCTTGGAAAAATTGCTTTTTCCTTCAGAACAGTGTCATCAAAGAGGACCGACGGAGCAGTATCTCAACAGGCCTGGTCATACGATTCCCACCTCATGAAGCAGCTACTTGGAATGAACCTGGTATAAAACAGCTGCATCCCTCACCCACAGCCCAAACATATGTTTGACAGCAATTATATGCACGTGTAGATGGACATTTTCTTTCACTAGCTGTGGCCCTTTGGAAGTGAGCAAAGTTAGCTGTGGTTTAACTGCCCTTATTGTTATCTCTTGGCACCCAGCCACGGCTTGTACAGCCCCAACCAGTAGGGGCCGGTTTGACTTCAAGCATTTTCCACGAATCAACCACATTTGACAGAGCACAGAGACAAGAAAAGCCTGAGAAAATAAAGCACCGCCACCGCACCAGCGCCTTCCTGCCCCCACACTGTCCCCTGCACCACCGCCCTCCCCTTCTCTGCACCTGCCTGTCCAGGGCAGCCCAGGTCGGGTTGGGGAAGGAAGGGGCTGAGGAGCTGGAAGTCCCAGGAGACGCTGGCCAGGGGGGCCCAGCACTGACCTCAGCCCACACGGCTTCCGGTCATTTCCTAGTTCCCCCTCTTTGCCTCTGCGCTTTCCACACGCAGAAACAGTTCCAGGTCTCTCAGTAGGGGCCCAGGTATTTGTCCTAAAGAGACCTGATCAAATTCCTGAGAATCAAGTAGATGGAAATTAAATTTCCTCTTCCTTGTACCTGGTGGGTCTTGGGTTGTTTCCACGTGGGAATCTCTACTGGGTTTCAAAAAGCCCCGGTGTCACAGAAACTGAATCTCATTGTAAATCAACAAAATATCCTTCCCAATTTTAAATGAGACATTGTTTTCATATATATATGTGAATGTTTTTGCTTGAAGTGCATTCATTAGTGAAAATGGAAAAATAAACAATTTTTTTTACCCACCTACCACACACTGAACATTTTGTTTTACATCCATGCTTGTAGAAATATACACATACATAAATGAGTGTCATACTTTGTGTGTGTGTGTGTGTGTGTGTGTGTGTGTGTGTGTGTGTTTTCTCAATTTTTTCTAAAGCAGAGCTGCCAACAGTAGATGCTGATGCTGTTGGGGACTTGCAGGTACTCAGCATAATTAACTCGTCTCATCCACACAACTCCAAGAAACGGGTCTTGGACTGTAGGTCCATTTTAGAAATGAGAATATTAGGGCACAGAAAGTTTCAATAGCTATAGACCCAAGATTTAAACGCAGGCACTTAGATTCAGAGTCTAAGCACTTACCCCTCTACCCCCTCCCTTTCCCATGTCCGTGCAGCTCTTGTGGGGTTCTCATGACATGAGGAAACATGGTGCACGTGAGACTCTGGTCCAGGTCTGACACACCCACCACGCGGGCGACGTGTTATGCCTTTGCCACTGGAGTGTCTTAAAC